CGAGGCTTCTCCCACGAAACTTTGTGCCTGCATAGTACTGTTATTGATTTGACAAGGTTATTGTTCTCCGCTTTCCTCAGGTCAACAAATCTCATATTTAGAGGTTCGTTATTGACTCTGCTACGCGGGGTGTATATGCGGACAACGTGGTGCCCCTTTTCTGCCAATTGCGCTGTAATCTCTTCCTTGCAGAACTTGGTGAAACTGAGGACGTTTGGCACAGTTATTCTCGGCACCTTAGAGGCAGGCCGCTCATTGGGAGGCGCCGTCTGGGTGGGTTGCGGGTGTGCGGCAAGCTTTTTATTTGCCGTTTGTTGCCTGCTGGCCCTTGCGCGAGCTGCGTGCGAGGTGGATGGCCTATCATCTACGTCCTCGTCGGCGCAAGCTTCCTTGTTGGTGGCTAGCTCTACTTCCGTGTCCATGTCGCTTTCCTCTTCGTCACGGAGGGCCCCGCAAACCGGTTTTGGCTGGCTTTCTTGGCTTCGGTGGAGCTCGCCTTCTTACGGGCGATACGGGGGGAGAGATTGCCACCTTCTCTTTTTGTGGCCTTAAACCATTGACCTTGCCAAGTACGTGCAGTCTTGGGCGGGTAATTATTCAAAAACGCGTGGAGATCCGGGCTTGTAGCAGGATTCGCGCCAGGAATGGACGGGATTGCGGGGCAAAAACCTTTAACTAAATTATTAACATGAGACTAAATATGCCATGCTGTTGCGCCATAAGGGTGCTCCAAGAAGGTAGGACATGAGGAAATGGGGCTGCTTGAGGGGAACTTAAGGATAAGGATAAGCCAAGCCGACGAATCTAGGCTACATACAAATGTCAAATATTTGCTGAGCTGTGATTAATGTTGATTCAACGTACACTGCTGGTCCTTTGCATAGGACTCTTGCCGCTAAGCGCCGCCTTTTGGTACCATTCACCTGTAGTAGAAAGGAAACGATGCGACGGTGACGGCAACGGCAACGGCTCCGGAAACTCATTTTCTGTATTCCAAAAAAAAGCTAGAAAAAGTAGAATAGTCGATTGCTTAGGATTTTATTTTGCTCGTCTTTAGTATGGAAATTAATTAAATTGATTGAATGTTTAACAATTTATCCGGCAATAAAACAAAGTGCCATCAAATACGAACACTAAACAAAAGAACCAAAAGACATCACTTGAATTTCCCATCGGCTCAAGTGCACTTAGCAGCTGGCGAGCTGGCGAGCTGGTCAAACTGTGCAAGTAAATGCCCGAACTGCTATGGCTGGTCACGTTGCGTCAATAGACATCCGAAATGCACTTTGATGCCAAAGTGTTGCACTTGTTTCCACAATACGCAGCTTTTTTTTCGTTATTCGATTTTCGCACAAAATATATGTATATTAGCTGCCTGGCACATCAGCATGGCGTATCAATGGCTTGCAGAGTAAACTGCTATTAATTTAGTGCGAACGATTCATATTTGCCGGGAACCAGTTTACTTAAAGCTCTAGAAAGACTTTTTCAAGCATTCGGATATATTTAAGATTGATTTAACTTCGTCAATTAGTTCAACTTATACAAAAAATCTTTCCCACAATTTATACATTTTAGCTGACCTGAATATCCAACACAGCTACTTTTTCATTTAAATAGATTTTCTAGTACCAAATCGTAGAAATGTTGTTACTCTTTATTTATCACATTTGTTATCGTTGTTATGCAATTGATAGCTTTAATATTCACTAATAGCAAAATATAGTTTTTCATAGGGCTTATTGGATAAATTTTAAAATTTGCCTTAAGAGTAATGATAAGATCTACCCAGCTATTGCTGTGAGTCGACTGGAGTAAGGCTAACTATAACCAATAAATAAATCAAGAAATAGTTTAAAAGGATTTTAAACCTACATAAAATAGCCGGTGTCTCTGCTTACGCTTTAAACTGGCTGCCTCCAGCCTGGTTTTGTACATTTCTAAGCTCAGGTTTTAGTTCCAGCCTGGGCTTGTCATATACATATATTCCAAGGCTTCATGAAACAATCCAATTTGTAATTTATAAGTCTGCGTTCTACACAAATTATTTCCTGTCGTTCCTTGAAACATTGAAAAGTCGCTGGCTAAATTTCAGTTCAACCCAAAATGGGCAATAACCAAGAACAGTTAGATATGTTAGTTATTTATGCTTAAGTGCTGAGTCTGCCTCAAAAGTTTTTTATTTGGACCAAAGCATATTTGAGAGAAAAATAGGATTTCTCTCAACAGTTTTTGGGCAAAGGTTTTGACTTTAGGTTCATCTCACGTTAATTGAATAACATGGATGTCAGACTCAAACTAGTTTGGCTTAAAATCGGCTTGGTCACAATATATTCAAAATTTAAAAAAGAAATATTTTGCGCTCTTTATACAAAAAACCATCAACAGATGGACGGACACTTACAGAAACTCGTCTGTTAATTGTGTTCACTAAAACCCATAAAATGAAAGATTTTTCCTTCTGCTTATAACATACAATCGCAAAATATTATCGTTAACTTTCTCAATCCACTGCATTTAGGTCTTAAGCATCCTTAAATATGTTTCCTAAAGGCTCTAAGGGTCACCGGCTTTCTAAAACTCGTTCGGCTCACAAAATTCACACGTCAATTATGGTGTTTTTGTCGTTTTCATTGGCCGTCAATTCCGTTATGTATACGCATAGTTGCACAATAGGGAAAAGTATTCGCATTGTGTTTTATATTTATGTGTTGAGATATATATACAAAATGAAAAAATGGCAAATCATTGACTAATCAGATCAGATAGGGCCATTGATGGCTCAGCTGATTGCTTCCGTTGTTCCTGTTGCAGAGTTTAAAATTCAATTTTGTAGAAAATTGTATGTGCCTAAACGTATTTCAAGCATTTTTCAATTTATTTCGTCTGCCAAAATAATAATGAAGCAGCCAGCAACAGGGGGGCAGAGCAAATAGCCAGCCGGACAGACAGTCGCCCAAGCAACTTGGCCAGCTGTCCAGGGCGCAAACTCAAATCAAGCCAACAAATGAGTCCAAACAAAATGTGAGAAATAAAAATAAAAAATCAAAAAAAAAAAAAAAAAGGTCAAAAAGGTACCAAACAACTTTAAGGTACGTGCAGGCCCTGGGCCAGCTCCTGATAGCAACAACAGACTGGCCCTCATCAATGCCAATACAAAATCGAATTTTTTTTTCCGTTCAACTGCGATGGGCAGGGACCTTTTTATGCCTGAGTACGATGATAATTTGGGTGTGAGGCCTGATTATTGATTGAACTTTGTTGGGTGTTGTGTCTTCCACACACACACACACACACACGTACATACATTCATAAGCACACATTGTGTTTAATGCTTTGATTAAACCTGATTGAATTGTCTATAGTAATGTGGCCGATTTGGCTGTCTGACAAGGATCGTAAATAACTCACAACAGACATAATTTAATGCATGTGAAAGTTAACTTCAGTTGGAAAAATATATGTATATAGTTTTGGGTAGCTTTGATTCTGAAGATGCCGCAAACAATTTAATTTCATTAAATTTATAAACCGATGATAATTGTTTTATAAACCGCATTTAATGAACTAAGCTCATTTTCGCATAACTAACTTGTATATGTTAGCAAAACCAACAAAGCCCTGAAAATAAATATTAATTTTCAATTCCTAGGAATGTAAACTGATTTCAGTTAGTAGTTGTTATTATATAAGTCAGTACTTCAGTTCAAAAAATTTCTAAAGAACTGATAACTTTTGCTGCAGCAAATCAAATTGTATTAATTATTGAAAGTAATATTATCTTTATATAAGTATAAAACAATTTGTCCCCTGTCAAATACGTAAGAGTTGGAAAGATGAAACTCTTGCTGTAGATACTTGATGTGGGGAAAAATCTTGGAAGGCCGCTGTATTTGTCTTTGTTCAATTTCATTTGAGAAGTGATTCATAATTTTAAAAAAAATGTCCCCCCCCTCCTCGATGAAAAGAGGGGCGATATTTGTGGGTGAGTTTCTCCCTCATATCCTCTTGAAAATTTATTTAAGACGTGGTCACAGATTTTTTGCGCTAACTTTAAAATTTCGCCAGATCGGCTTTAAATATACTTTCAAAACATTACATAAAGACATATATATTGAGCCATTTTAGAAATTCCAAATTGACGGAAAAGGGTTGTAAGAAAGTTTTTCTTTACCATCTAATTTACTCCACTTCACGTTTCTAGTTATATATTAAAACTTAAGACGTGGAATACAAGATGGTACGGGAAGATTATACGGGCGAGAAATCAGTGAAAAATGTATACTCAAAATTTAAAGTAAAAACTTCGACCGGATACGGCAGGAAATATCAGCTACTTATTGTATATAATAGTAAGGCAATAATTATGCTGATATCAAATAAAAGAACAACAAAAGAACAACAAACAACAACAAGTCGTCGTGGCTAGGCTCTACCTATAAAAAGTAATAAAAGCTATTCCAAAAGTGAAAAACCTTTGAGTACTAAAACCTGAAACATGCAACTCTACTGAGTCCAAAAGACTCTCCAGTGTGGCAGCACTTCGCCCTTCGCTGAAACTACGCCCAGATTGAGGTGCTTAGGTCTGACTATTATCGGGCAGGCAATGGTGTATCCCGTCGGAATCTGTTGATTGTAAAGTGTACTTTTTATACTGTTAAACTGTAACTGCTATAGAAATGAGAACTTTGTTAATTACAGACGTAAAACAGTTTTCGCAACCCTCAATTGAAGGAAGACTTAAGCATTTAATTTGTTTAATTTTAACAAACAGCTCAACTAATGTTGTTTAGCTGTTCATTTGTGCTACTTTCAGAGAAATCTCTAACAAAAGGTAAACCGAAATGAGAACAAATGTAAAATGAGGCAACAAAAGTGCAAAAAATTAAATAGCTTTCACTGGCAACTAGTGTTTATACATATATACATATATATTTGTGTGGTTGGGGGTTGGTACCTATGAAGCGCTTTTTTAAACATTTTCGTATCTTGCTTTACAGATCTCGAGCAATTTTCTGCCATCATTTGAGGCAATTGCCCTGGCCGTGCGGAGCATTGCCAGCAAGTTGAATTGGACGCAGGTTGACATCTATGTTGGCGGTAAGTTAACGCTTATTTCCCGATTAAATAGCTGATAATATAAATTCATTTAAAGTCCGTCAGCATTTAATTTGCATTAAATTGCTTTTATTTCTCTCTTGTTACAGTCAAATGACAACAATGAACCACTATAGTGAGAAATTATTCATTGTGTCTGAACTGAAGTAAAAGAATTTAAGCTGACTTTTTATTGTATTAAAATTAATTAAACTTATCATGGCCGCATTCTGCTGAGAATTTCGATGAAATACTCTTATACTGCCAAACTTCAAAAGTTTCCATAATCGAGTCACGATAATTAATAGTAAATTTAATACTAAAGCTATACTATCAAAAGTAAACGAATATGGAAATGATTTTTTTTTAATTAATTCTAAAAACAAGAGTGACAAATAATTATATAAAATACTCGCGGGTATTCCCCAGCCTGGCTCGGGCCAAGTTGGTTAGATATCACGTTTCCATATATTTCGTGCCTGTCGTTAATTTTATATTTATTTATTTTATCACGATACTTGAAAATGATTCTGAAGTAATCCCGTGTCGTGCACTTCAAAATCCGTTTAAACACTTGTTTGTTCTCGTTAAATGAAGAGCTTAAAGCTGAGAAATAAAGTTGCGCAATAACATTTTCCATTCAAGAGGGATGGATTTTGCGAAATGTGTGAGAAGCGTTTCAAATGAATTTTCTCAAGTATGTTTGAAAATGCGTCCGGAATTATTCGTATGGCATCAAAATACTTACATACAACCGTTTTCCGGCAATTTTCCACACTTACATCACATAAAGTAACTTCAGTGAAAATTTCAGCTTTCTAGCACTTATAGCCTATATAATTTGTAAAAATTAATCGACACTTTAAATAGTGAACTCAATAGTTGATCCGAACTAACTAGCAGAAAATGCGTAGAAATATATGTACAAATGTACATAGATATGTATAGACTAATATATAGCATACACAATTACTGCTTGCAATCGCATGATGCTTAAACAAGTTGTTATCCCAGCAAAGCTACAGAGAGCTTCAAAGCAGGCAAAGCAGCCTGTATTAAATATACCCGTGCAGGCGTCAGGGCGCTGCTATGGGTCTCCAAGGGGTGGCCCCACTAATGCCAAATTATGGTCTGGTTATTAAGACAGCAAGCGAGCTACGGGAACAAAGCAGCCGGCGCTGGCTGTAGTCAAGTCATAGTACACGTGTGCGTATACGCAATGCAATTAGTGGTGACATTATTATGATTAACGTCGAGCTCTAGTCGACCGCGTATCCTGTGAGCTGTGTGCGTAACTGTGTGTGTGTGTGTGTGTGTGTGTGTGTGCATTTGTATGTGTGCGCAAATGTTGACAGTCTGGTACACAGACGCACAGCTATTGGATTGTGTTGCTGCTGCATTTGAAATTTAATTAGGTGGCAAAAGCTAGTCACAAGACCAACTGCAGCGAACAAGGCCAAGGGCTTATTGCATTCCCATGCGAGTATCATCTGCTTAATTAATTTAAATCAGGAAAAGCTAGCTGCTGCACTGAGCCATCAATTTAAGATGGAAACGTCTAGATAAATGTAACAAGCGCAAAGAAAATGGCAGATATTGAAGCCTTTAACGTTAAATTTGTTGCCTTTTTTAATTAATTAGACAGCAGCTGAAGAAGCGACTCGACCTATAAAATGAATTGTTTATTGGACAAACTCAAACATAGAGCGAAAAAACATGCACGAAATTTGGCATGGGAGATGACTTCGGGGCGTCATCTGTTTGCCCTTTCTACATACATATGTTATGTTTATGCAGTAAACTAGTTGCCTAAGTTGTCGTCTAATCTCAAGTATTTGCCATTTCTGAAACTTGGCTGAAGTAGCTCAGGTTGTTGACCCCATCGGCGGCTAGCAACAAAAATCGTAAATGATGTGACAGCAGTTGAGAAATTGTATAAAAACAAAGTTGTAAAATAAAACATCAGCGGCAAGTGGCAGTGGCAAGTGGCAAGCAGCACAAACAAAACCAAAATGTGCTCGCAGCAATAAAAATAACCAAGGAGAATGCCAGGAAAAAATGTAAATTTGCTAGCCAAGCAGGCGAGCGATAACAGCTCCCACACCGAGCAGTCATAACTATATGGACAGCGACAGTGTGGATATTAAATGTGAGCAGCATGAGTAGCAGACATCGCATTTTCAGCTAATAAAATCAGTCAGGCAGCAGTTAAAGCTGCCACACACTACCGAAAGCTGCAGAACGCATAAAATAGCGCAAACGAAATGTGAATGGAAATCACATTACAAAGTGGTTGGTTCGGTACACAATATGAAACAATTTGGAGCGCTTTTTTAGACTTTTTAATTTAAAGTTTAAAGGCGCGTTTTCTTGTCGAGCATATTTGGGTGATAAATACACCATAAGTTGTTATTATTTTATTTCAATACCTATACTCATGGGCACCTATGCATGCAGACATATTTTCCATTTGTCTTCTTTTTTTTTTAACTTCTTCAGCGAGATTTTGTCGAAATTGCAGCTGTTTTTCAATAAGAACATATAAACAGATCTTTGTTTTAGATGTCAAAAACGTGCTAAAAAGAGAAATATATATAATCATACAAATAGACTATAGTTAATACATTTTGCAGACTTCACTAGAATTTTTTGATTATCTCTGCTCTATATATATGGCAGTTACTCGCAAAAAGGATTTTCATGTTTTATATTCAATATTTATTTAAGCTTCTTTAAATCTTTTTACAGTGTTTTTTTCGTTTTTCATTTTTTTCATTATAATACTATATAAATAACATAAGAGCTTACTCATAACATGTCCATGTTCTATTAATGTTTTATACAATGTTGATAACTACTTAAACGCACCTCTTTACGTGATTCAGTCAGATGCCCAGAAAAAAAAAAGGAAAAGGAAAAGCCATGCACAGCTGTGAATCAAGGGAGAAAGAAGCATGGCCCTGATGGCCGCTTATTTGGGTAAACGATGGCCACACAAAAATACGCACACTACCCCCTGATTTATGCGCAAACACACACACACACACAGACAGACTTACCCTCACACACGCCCACTGAGTGTATGCCCAGCAGAAGGAGAACCGAATGTAATTCCTTTAGGAATGTGCGTGCGCATTTTGGTCAAGCATTTTTATGAATAATGGTACAACAACGTTGTCCATAAATAGGCCATAAAGGAGACTGGGCCAGGGACAGGCAGAGATATACATGTGTATCTCTCAAGACATAGATTTCGGTCTGGCACTGATATTAATCTCGAGTGTTTAACAATTAACGTTGGCTGCTCGGCTCCAAGTTGCAGGGCGGCACCACAGTTTGGCTTAGCGAAATCATTCTGAGCTGCTTTTTATGACAGCATAATTAGCTGGAGTTGTTGCCTGGCATAGGCGATTGCTTGTCTTGGCCGAAACACATTTCATTTATGATTTGTTTTACGCTAAGTGACAGCTAATGGACTTGCGACCATAAAAGGTGGCCAAGTGTCTGCGGAACCCAAGAAGCCATATGCCAGAATTGATTGCCACAGTAATGTGGTGATTGGTTTGACATTGACGTTGACTTTGACTTTGACGCTGAAGCTGACGTGGACGTAAACGTGGACGTTGACTTGAATCGCCTCAGTTGGCAAGTCATCAAAAACAAATACTGAAATACTGAAACAGTAGCAAAGCAATATTGAATTTCCGGTGCTACGGCATCGCTAGCTTCAGTGTTATGCTCTTGGCATTTGTTCATTCCAGGATAAAGTACAACAACCCTCGACTCAATCAATCGAAATTCTTGCGCAAAGACTTCATCTCATGCATATTGTAATTTGCAAGAACGTGAAGACAGTTGCAATTTAAACTTTAATTGCATTTCACTGAACTGGCAAAGTTCTCCCTTACCAAGTCCATGGCCAATGACTTGCGCACTTACACACTGACTACATATTTATATATATATGTTAACTGAAAAGTATTTTACCATTTCTGTCACCCATAATATACTACACATAATTGCATAATTTTCATGGAATTTAAATGTGGCCTGCCGCCCATTGATAAGCTCCAGGCCCCATCAAGTTGATTATTAGTGGAATGATTTCCATGCTTAACTAAATAAATAATGAAAGGGTATACAACTTGTGGGTTGGTATGCTTTAAATTTCCTATTCCTATCCTATAATAATCGTTATTCGATTCTTTGGAACAAACTTTAATCAGGCTCCCTTCCAAAGAATTATATTCTTCGTATTGCTGATATTGGATTGGATGATAAAATGACCATACTTCTCTGCCCAGCTTGAAATTTAATACAAAGCCATTCTCGTCCGACTTCTTAGGGTATCCTCGACTCTGGCGATTTACACTTTTCTCTGCACACATATATATGTAAATATGTTGCATATCTTTTGGCGCAAGCCTTTGCGTGTGCCGTTTGAAGCACATTAAGTGAATTATAATTTCATTATAATGCCTCCCCAACTCGCCTTTGAGTGTGTGCATAAATATTAAAGTTAAACTTTAACTTTTGCTCCGGATAATATTAGGTTGACTTTTTCGGGCTTGGGGGAGTGCTGCAGCGTTTTTGATGACAGTTTAATGTAACACATGTCACAGCAATGCGAGTGACAATGAAACGATACCAAATGGACACAAGCTTTTGTTCTTAGAATGTTTCTTAATGAAAATATTTTTATCGTTATGGGATACTCAGAAAAATTTGTCCACTTTCAAATGTTTGCACTTGAAATCATAGTTTGATGGCAGCAGAATAGTGTGCTTGAAGCTGGTTGAATAAATCACTATGGAAAAACTAAAAGCATGAATTCACATAACTAGTTAACTGCCGCAGCTAAGGCTGCCAAGAGGCATGGCTTTGTAGAGCCTGTGAATAGAGGCGCGGCTGTCACCTCTACCACAATCTATAATATATAATTATAGCAACGAAGCTATAATTGCCACGGCTTTCCACAATCGATGGCCACACGTGTGCCCAAA